CCTCTGAAGAAGGCATTGCAGGATGCCGGCAGAACGGATGCGCTCTTGTTTTAATAAATTCAGCCTTGCCACCAGTAGTATGTAAGATCGACCTCAGCACCCTTTAGTGCTGAAAACTGTTGAACGCACAATCCTCAAATCTGTCAAGAAATCATGTCGACTGCACCTTCCAGCAAAAACAATCCCACAACACTGGCGACTGGCCACATCAAAAGTGGTCGAACGAAAAACTCATTCTATCGCGCATGCAAACAGAAATTTATCTCGTGGCAGGGGCAAAACCACGGTGGCCCACACCTGCAGCAGCAGAACCATGCCTCCCCGGCAGCACGTCGGAGTTGTAAGCAAGTCAGTGCTCACATACCGCTAAAGTTCCCGGCCACTACAAGTTGAGCGTTGATGGCAAAGGCGACGACAAAAAACGTGCAAAGGTGAAACTCTGACCAAACTCACAAAAATCGTGGGTCTGTCCTTGGCATTGCCTGCTTCAGCTTTGCCAAATGTCTCAGAAACCGCGACGACGTGCTTGCCGTTGCTGTCTTGCGCTTCCGATGTCGCTGCTTCACTCCTCTGGATGGAGCATCAGCTGGATTTGATTCGCTGGGAATGTACACTAGTCGCAGCAAAAAATTGCATCCCATGATCAAAGCTGCTAACTGGCGCAAAACACCACGCAAACCTGGAGCAGAACTTCGTCCTTTCGCTGCTGCTCCCAGAATGGCTTTCGCGTCGATGAGGAGCGGTATCCGATGGCCATGGTGCTTTGCAGACCTCGACAACCATTTGACAGCAAGAAGCAAACCATGCGCTTCCAAGATGCCAGAGTGGGCTCGCCAGCACGCACGTTTGCTGATGACTATACTGAAATCCTCTTGGTGAAAAGGCAATCTGTGAGGCACACCTAATCGATCTTTCTCCGGTGGATCATCTGGACGCCTGTAGAGGCGAATATAGTCACCTTGTCGTTCTGCAAACTGGCTGAAACTCTCTGCATCAGATCGTTTGCAATCTAAGCTGGCAACACCAAAACCATAGTCAGGGCAAGCATCACATGCAATGATTTTGTTCAAATATTCTCGAGAAAAATCCGCGCCCAACAAAGGCATCAAACATGTTGCCACTGCTAGCTCATTTCGCACTGACGTGGGCAACCAAACTTGCACCTTATGGTTGGGAGCTGTCTCGTCAGCAAAATCATAAATACTGTCAAAAACCGAAAACATCGGCCTCTGCAACAAACAGAACCATTGCTTGACTCCCAAAGCTCTGCTTAAGGCCTTCGGGGAAGTAAGCGGCTGAAGCAGAAGGCCGATAAAAGCAGCAAAAAGACCAAACACTTTCACCGAACTTGGCTCCGCAGTTGGTGGGTTAGCAAAAAGCTCACACCCCAGTGCCACCATGTGCGAGTCCCAGTTCACATCTTTTGCTGGGTTTTTGGGCATGCCTGCTGCCTCCATGGCTGCATCTAGCCGGCCAAGCCGATGCTCAGCAAGCTCTTGAGAACGGTGCACAAACACAGTGTCATCCGTCGCGACGCCACAGAGTTCTTGCTGATTCAACGGCAGAGGTTGATCCATGCACATGAACGCGCTTTCCGCCACACCGCTGCGAAGGCAGCAAGCTACAGTGCAGTCTTGAGCAACAGCCGAAGACCAACTGAAACCCATGCGCCAAACTGTACTTGCTGGGAAAAGGAGTTTGTCCGGCTGAAGAGGCTTTTCGTCGTCGTCAAATACAAACACGGAAAGGTCTTGCAAACTCCTGCCGCTCAGCGCTGCCAACTCTCCCAGCGTCACCGGAGGCTGGCCAAACCACTTCTGCAAACTGTCAGGGGCTTTGATTGTGTCAAAGCAAGTGCTGACATCACGCTTTGAAAAATACAGCTGTTCACCTTTCTTCGCTTGAATATCCACAAAGCATGCAGGGTTTGCCAGAAAACGTGGTTTTGGTGGGCAAGCAGCTGCGTCTGAAATGGTTGAACCATTCCACACCTCTCGCTGCCGACCGGGTGTTGGCTTAGGTACAGCGAAAACGTCTGCGACTGCCTTCACATGGGTTCTCAAACGAAGCTTGCTGCAGTCCAGCTCACGAAGCACCAGCTTGATGTATTCTCGCCGTTCTGCTCCACGTGGGCCAGGTATCTGCAGAGTGTGGTCGAGGTTTTGTTCGAAAAGGTTTGTTGGGTTGGAAACTGCTTGGAAAACTTCTGGGGACAGCAAAGTGGAGGGGTCACATGTACCTGCGCAAGCTGGAACATCAACCGCTTCTGCCTCTAGCTTCAGGCCATGAGCCGCTTGCTCCACTTCATATTTGCTGAATCCACTGCGCCAGTCAAAGTCCTTCGGCATTTCCATCTCCAAGCGTGAGAGAAAGAAAGCACAACGTTCTGCGACACGAGTGATGACTGCTTTCTGGGCTGCTGTGGGTGTTTGCCTCAGCCCCTGCTGCGCCCTGTCAAGCTTCAAGTCCATCATCAAAAAGTTCAAGCCACAAAGACAACAGTTCAATGGTAACGCGAACCGTGCCAAGTGAGTCGCTGCAAGAAATGTCTTCTGGCCATGACTTGACATACGGGACTGGAAAAACATCCCGCTTTCGCCCAATGGCATCATGCTCCCTGTCGCGCCATTTTTGAAAAAAGACGCTGAAGGGCAAGGTTGAATCCCCAAGTATAGTTTCCAACAGCTCATTCAATTTGGAAGAAGAATCCACAGTGGCAGCTACGGGCTTTGAATGCGCAACTGGATTTTGGTCACCAGCTGCCCTGCACCATTTTTGCTGCACAGCCTTCCTTCTAGCCAAGGACCCTTCAACCAAACAAACTAAAGCAAGTTTCCTTCGTCTCCACAAATTTCGATGCCGTCTGGCAGGTGAACTGTGCTTGCTTCCAGAATTTTGCGGCTTCCTCTCCATGTACCCTCCCAAAGCGCCAATCCCCTGAAGGGCGGAAAACTTCAGAAAAGAAAATGGATAAGAGGAAACCTCAGGCACCGCCAGTAGAGAAAGCAGCCAAAAATTACATGGCTACCCGACGCCACCCAACTCCACCGAAAGTTGATCTTGAACAAAACTTCAGCATTTCAAATTGCAGTTGATGTCCAGTTTCATCGGCCCTTTGTAAATCAAGAAGTAGGATTTTCACGCCCCGACCAGCTGGTGCAACAATATAGGTGTTCCATGAATCTGTTCGATTTAGTTTCGTTGGGAAGCATTGGATCAATCTTTGAAAGGCTCATTACAAGCAGCAAACCCTAACAAGGACGTCATTGGACGTTAGCCTTGAAGGTTGCACTGATAGAATTTGGTGACTTTCTCGTGGTCCACAGGACAAGAGATGTTTGGGGTTCCGAATCATGGTTTGGGGTTCACTCATGTTCCCAAGTCGTTGGCCAATTGAAGCATCTCAACGTGTTGACATATATATTATTTAGAATTTAGACCCATCTCAAATCGTGTACATGAAATTCACTTGGCGCCTCTTCGGACCTCCCTTTTCTGCCCAGCGCAGGCGCAGGCGCACGACGCCCGTGTGGGGACAAGCGTGCCAGGCCCACCGTCCAGGACGCACCCTGATTCTGAGCCTCGACGGGGAACCGACACGAGAACTAGCGTCGTGTGTCGACCATCGTCAAGTCTCCTCAAGTGATCGACCTCAGGGGCTTGCCAAAGTATGTTGCAAAAGACAGTGGTGACAGTACTGCAATTTCAACCTGGAGTTCTGATGCATGTCTGATGCAGGTATGTATATATAAATACTATGTTTTTCATAAAAAGCTGCCCCAAACTGGTCAATACCAGGGCTACCAAGACCACTTCAGGCATTGAGAGGACCTTCGATTCATCGAGTTCGCTGTGATCCGGCGACCTTTCGCAAGGCTGAGCCAGGTGGCGTCGGATGTCGTCCTATGTCGTTGGACGTAACTCCGAAGGATACGATCTTCCTGAGTTCGTTGCCATAGATGAATATGATCATATATGATCCATACAGTAAGAAGTAAGAAGGGCTTCCAAAAGACGGTGTCCTTGGAGGGGTCACCGAGTCCGGACCTGGCCGCCCTGGCCCCCTGGCCGGGCACCTGAATGATCATGCCATGGATGAGCTTGATCCGACCTGCGTGACGGCAACACGAGAGGGATGCGAGAGGTGAGGAAGGTGTGCGCCAGCCCTTCCGATCCGGGGGGTTGGACAAAATGCCCGGGTGAGAACGACCAAATCAGGTAATCTACCGATGTGTCTTCTCAGTTCTTCTAAATGCTTAAACGATGACAGTGTCACACTTGATCGAGTACAAGAAACCAGTGTTGGCAAACCACTGGAGTGCTGCAAGTCCTGGCAGGAGAATCCGAATGGAAGCCGAATCGCTGTTCAATTGCCATACAGACGAGGTTCGGACTAGCAACACCTTCAATCGAGTTGGTCAAAGAGAATTGTCCCACTATAGAGCCCAAACAGTCACACTTACGCAGGCATCTGTTACAGGCCAACCAGTCGCACATAGTCGCACCAACAAGAGAAGCGAAAGCGAAGCCCCTGGCGAACCACACCGCATCTGGCCGAACGCCGAACTCGGCCTTCAATATCGCCAGGGCCCTTTTCCGAATTCAAGTCACCTTGGCGCGCTCAGAAACTGTGGAAACTCCCAGCCCGGTGAAAGGGGGGAAGCTGAAGATGGGCTTAAGCCAAGGGCACCCAACTTGCCAGGTGGCACCGTTCTTCGAGGCTTCAGGATGACTTGGGGGGTTGGCATGTCCTATTTGGCATCAGAATTGATCAGTTCACGGGAGGGGATATCTCATGAGCTGGGGTGTACAAGGGAATGTGCTTGAACCATGTTGACCCTAGGCATTCGATGGTATTTGGGCTGGAGCCTCAAGGAACAATGCTCAGCTAGCAGCTAGATCACACCTTGATCGAATAAAACCCTTGTCCACCGACCCAAAGAAGCACACCAATGCTCAGCAGCTGCATTTCAGCTACCCGCCACTCCTTGAGCCTTGGAGCCACTTCAGAGCCCTCCTCAGACCCCTCCTCTGAGCCCTCCTCTGAGCCCTCCTCTGAGCCTCACACTACCAGCTAAGTCTTCCAACATCTGTTTCATTTGCTCCTTAGGATCAGTTCCGTCGCAGCAAACGTGGTTTTGGTCCGCACGCCCCGCACGGACATGGTAAAAAAGAGGTCGAAGGTCGCGACAGGGTCCTTCGTCTCCAGCGATTCGCTCGCCCACAGCGATATGATGCACAGCCATGCACAGGCATTGGGATGGGAAAAAGGATGAAAAAGCAAGCTAACTTCCCGCAGAGGATGCTCTTGAGAATTCAGAAGGTTCCAGGTACAAGATGGTACAAGGGGTACAAGTGCTCCAAAGCAACAAGGATCAGTGACAAAGAACCTCTTCTTTTGCCGTCGTCCGTCCCGCCGAGTTAGTCGTCCCCTGCCCTTGGCGCGGTGTGAGCTATCCGTGTTCCGTATGAAGAAACCAAGAGGGGCAACACCAAGGACCGTGTTCGTTTCTGGGAAAAGAATCCGAAGAAAATGGCAAGCAACAAAAACAGCGCGATTGATTGACATGTTCTCATGAATGCCCAATAAGCTCTCTTGATATGTGATCAGAATTGGTAAAAGAAAGGAATTCACATTGATGAGCAGGTGTCAGCAGTCGCATTCAGCATCGACCTACAAGTTGAACCCATACTCCTCTACTGGTGAAAGATCTGCTACACCTATACCATCCTACACCTCCACCGCAAAAAATGGCCGACTTGTAAGCAGCTAGGGACAAATCCAGTTCTCCCGGTATTTTCGGTGTTCAACTGTTGGGGTGTGTTGGGGGGTGAGTTCCCCCATGGCAGCCGAACGGCTCAGCAGCTTCGGCTCCGTCGCACAACGTACGGAGATTTCTGTTATCAAAAGCAAAGAGGAGGTTCCAGGAGATTTCCCAGGTTTTCAAGTTCCCCGGACCAGAAGACAAGCTGGTCCCAAAACCTTTCCACGCTGGATTGAAAGGTTACGAAGGATCGTTTGGATTTCATCTGCAACTTGACGCAAGAAGTGCTGCAGGAATGGCGTGCCCGCCGTCTCGAAACTGAGTTTCCCCACCCGCTTTCGCAGATCCTCGCTGTTGATCTCAGCGACAGCGCTCTTGTTGCGAAACTTCAGGCAAAACAAGTGAAAATCAGGTCGAATGCAGAGATCTTCTATCAAGTGACTAGCAAAAGTTGGATTGCAGCTTGGACATCCTATTTTCTCAGTTTCATACTAAGCACCTGTTCTGCCCAGCGAAAGCACCACGGCTGGGCCTGCTGTGCTCAACTCCGCTCCGCTCCGCCGAAACCTGGGCACCCCGGGCGCTTCGCACCTTCTGCACGAGCAAGCGGGTGCACACCTCGTCACCGAGATCCACTTGGGCCTGCGAGCGCCACAGCGCTGAACACTGAAGTTCGGATGGAGAGGGACAAGTGCCAACCGGTCGACGAAAAAGAATCCTTCCACTTTTTTCGCTCCCTTTCTGGAACAGGATCTGAGGCGCTCGGCACTCGGCCCTGATTGAAAGGACATCAAGAAGAGAAGGACCCAGAACAAGAGCCTACTCGAACCTTGCTATAGCTGCGGACCGTGCTTCCTGCATCAACATTTGGGGGCCCCAGATGGTGGGACCCTTTCTGAAGAAAGATGAAATGGACACAATCAAACGTCATCCGACAAGAGGACTTCTCTTCTCATCCTCCCAGATTGACCCACCAAGCGGGTTCATGCTGGTGAACTAGAGCCCGAAAGATCAGATCCCAAAGCCTTCGGCTCACCTCCGCTTCAGATGAGAAAACAGTAGCGTTCACTTCAGCCCATCGGATGAAATATAATACCCCCTCCTACATATCTCGCCTCTAAATCTGGCGTCTCTCCAATGTCTGTTTTTTTTTCAGTTCTCTGACATCTTTGACATTCTTCAATACCCCAAAAAGCTCCTTCACGTTTGGAGGGTATCCAAGAACTCACAGATGGATCGAATACCAAAAATAGAGAAAAGAATTCTCTTCGATACCCCGAGGCCGACGACACCCCTAAGACAATCCTGAAATCGATTCCACGGAAATCCACATCGTCCTTGGTGAAGGGCCTTGGTCAAGTGCTCCAAGATCTCATCGTCCTCATCGTGCCGTGGCACCTGGGAGCGCCCTTTTCAGAGGCCTTCAAAGAGCCAGACAGGTGGAGAACCAGGTTCATGGGCTTTATGTGCTTTGTGTGCTTTGTGTATTGAAGTGAAGTGGGCAAAACTATCAAAGCCGGCCACACCCTCAACACTCCGAAACACCATGAAAAGCACCAACATCTGCGACCTAGCTTCACCTGCAGTACTCAATATGACAAGATCTTTCTCACCCAAACCTTGCCTTCCACATCCTTCTTCCACCATGCTCCGAACATTCGCATGAAACAAAGCGCGGCCCACCGCGCACGCGTTCCCCGTTGCACGGACCGTTGCACCGTCCGGCGCACCGTCCGCAGGCGTTCCGCGCCACGCGCGCCAACGCGCCCGGAGGGACATAGAACTCCACGGCGTTCCGCGAGTCGGCGTCGGTGAAGACCTCCGTTGGTCCGTTGTGGGTGGGGCGTTTGCGGCGGTTTTGGTCGGTTTTGGGCGGTTTTGGTGTGAGTTGAGGGGGTAGGTAGGGAACTTGGGGTGCTGTGGTCGAGAGGTCGAGAGGTAGAGATGAAGCGGAAGCAGAACTTGGCTGGAGAACACACCAGTCTAGCAATACGGCTCAAATGTAGCCGAAAAAGGAAGTGCTCTTTCATATGTAGACCTTTTCACTCATGGAAACTGTGAGATGTAGAAAATGTGTTGATCCCCAAAACGACTCGCAATAAAGACTTTAAAAAATATGGTGAGACATCTCCTGAAGTCCAATTCCTATTCCTCCATTGACAAAATATCCTGATGTAGGCTCTTGCCCAGGCTCCATGAGATTATCCCACAGAACCACAAGTTTCGAGTCTTTTAGCTCCACAAGCTTCACGCCGCAAAGGGCGGGTTCCCGCACCATCTCCGAGGCATCTGGGCCGTTTTCCGCGATGTCCATCGCCTTGAGTTCAGTCGACCACGAGAGGTTGGAGATATCAACACAAGGATTTCATTGGAGAATCTCTTGGATGTTCAAACCATAATGTCTATCTCAACAG